CAAAGGCCCACGCCTCAAGTGTGGTGAGATGAGCTTGCCCTGCAAAAAGCTGCTCTTTAAAGCCAAATCGGAGCAAATGTCAGTTCAAGTTTTCCATGGGTTGATATTTGTGGCCCAAGAACAGCAGGTCAGAGGTCACTGGTGGGAGGGGTCAAGAAGTGTAGAAGCAGCAAATATGACAGGACTCCAGCTTGGGATCAAAATAGCCACAACTTTATTGATTACAGATGTAAGTTGGTTTTGACATAGGCATTAGGTATGTATCATGAATCAGGTAACCCATTTGCTGGCTAATAACTCCATCAGGGATGATCCTGGTGAAGGATCCCCCCAGGACACAAATCAAATGGGGCAATCCTGCCAGGTCACCATTTTGGGTGATCTATGGCCTGTTAGCCCCCGTCGGGCTTTCGGAAGGAGCCCTGCCCCTGAACCCCTTTACTGGGGTCTCCTGAATTTTGATCCTTGCTCCAGGGGTGGGACACCTCAACAACATTTTTGACTAAGGATCCAACCCAGTGCTTCTCCTCCTGATGCACACTGAAAACTAGCTACGTCAGGCCCATCACTGAAGCACCCTCACCCACCCACTAGGCAGGGGTTGGCAAAGTGCGGCCCATGGGCCAGATGCGGCCCACGAAGACTGTTTTACTGGTCCACGAGTGCGACGTTAACATATGAGAGTGCTGGAGGTGAAATAGTTTAACAAGTTGTCCAGTCAGAACCCAGGGGGTGGAGTCAGAGGGACTATAAAACCAGCTCTGGGAGGGGCGAAGGGGGAGTTCATTGGGAGTTGGGTGGTTGGTTGGAGTGGGAGTGAATTGAGATAGAGTCTGTGGGGAGGTTGAGTCAGTGTAGCGAAATAAGCTGAGTCAGGAACAGTTAGGAGCTAGGAAGACAAGTAAATATCTGAAAGGTGGTTTAGTGAGTCAGAGCAGGTAGTGGAAGTTATAGGTCTGGATAGGCACCCCATGATTGTAATGGACTGAGACCATTTATGAAACCACATGCTTGGTAAACTGCAATAAATAAACAGAAGTTTATGTTTCAATTGAACCCTGACTGGACTCAGTATCATAGCTGTCAACTTACAGATTTGAAAATAAGGGACCAGCAGCCAAAATAAGGGACCTGCAGCCTCACCTGTTCCAGGCACTCCAGTCTTCCTGTCCTCCTGCAGTCTGGTCAAACTCATGCTGGTAGCTTCGAGAACACTGTCCAACCAACTTTGTAACCAGAGGTTCAACTGAATAGAATCTGAATCACATGCACCACAAGGCCTACGCAGCCTCAACTTAAGATGGCTCCCCGGCCTGGCTTTGCACTGCAAAGTTTGCACCAGCACGTGCAACAAAATGGCGTCCAGCATTCAAAAAACCCCTCAGCTTGCATTAACTTTAATAAAGTTTAATAAAGTTGTGGCATGCAAGCTCCACCCCCAGTCGTTCTTAGACTTCTTATTGGGTGAGCAACACAGCCAAGCAACACAGTTGGAGCCTCTCTGCTCCCTGGCCAGCAGGGAGGGAGGGAGAGGAGCTGCTTCCTTTGAAATTTAAGGGACATCATTTAAGGGACATCCATCAATAAGGGACAGCAGTGGGACATGGCGCTGGAATTAGGGACTGTCCCTTCAAATAAGGGACACTTGACAGCTATGCTCAGTATTGTCCCAGGTAGGGCCTGGGTGGTGGCAGCGAGAAAAAAAGTGGGATCAACAGGGATCAACAGACGGTGAAATGTCCGGGGACCCTGTGTGATCGCCGCAACGAGCCGCCCCCGAACCGAGCCACCCACTTGGCGAGTCCCCCGCGCGCTGCGCTAAACTGGCGCAGCGTGGTGCGGAGACTTGCCGAGTGGTGCCAGAGATCATGTCTGCGCACACGCAGATACCGGAAATCGCATCTGTGCATGTCCAGACGCTGAAAATCTCTTCTGCACAGACGTGATTTTCAGCATCTGGGCATTCACAGAAGCGATTCCCGGCACCCCAGACATGCGCAGATGCGATTTTCGGCGTCGCAATATGCCGCTCTGGCCCACGGATGATCTCCGTGGGAGTGATCCAGCCTATGACCGGTAAACCTTGCCAGGGCCATGATTGGCCCATTTTGAATTTAAATTTCTGCAAGCAACCCCACCAGCCCCGCAGCGAGCCAAGGCTGACTGTGATGTCAGCTGGCTGCATAGGCAGGACTTTTCACACACACTCACCCCTCCATGCGGGGCCGCAACTGCTGTCTGGAAATGAAGAAGCAATCTTTGCTCCAATTGAGCTTTAAAGAGGTGTTTTTGTGTGTGAAGAAAGCTGAGGACCAAAAAGGGGGTGGGGGGTGCTTGGACGCAGTGCTTCAAACTGTGGGCCATGCCTGGAAAGAACAGAGGAGAGCTAAGTGTGGATTTGCCCTCAGTCACAGCAGGGTCAAAAATCCCTTCCCTTTTCAAAAGTTTGCTAGCACCCCTGGGGAAAATGCTGGCCCATTCATTTCCCTTTCCTTGCATTGTTCTGTCTTGGTCAAAGAGGCTTCCCCTGGCCTTCAGTAAATATAAAGGGTTCTGGAATGATCACTCACTCATCCGGTGGGCACCATTTAGGGGTATAGTAGAGGGGTGTAGCCAACCTGCGAGTGCGCAGTCAGCTCTGGAGCTGCACCCACCCAAACCTCCCTTTGTTTAAGCTTTTTCTTTCCAGGTCAGCAGGCATTGCTACTGTCTTATGATGGTTTGCTGTTAAAGAGCCGGGAAGGAATTTTCCTTGCTGTGCAGGTTTTGCCTTTCCCGTAGCAATTGTCACAACTTTGGCAGTTTTAGGCCTTGGGAGGAATCCATTAGTCTATCTTCCTTAAGTGTGTGTGTGTGTGTGTGTGTGAAGCAGTGACTCACCCCCTCCCCACAGTGGTGATTCCAGGGTTCCCTGTTAAAGGGGTTTTGTTTGAGGGGAGTCACTGGCCAGACACTGAAAGGCTGTCAGTGAACTCCCCAGTGTTGCACGGAAAAGGGGGCTGCCTGGCTGGTTGCATAAACAGACGTCTTGCAGTGTCCCCTCCCTGGATCTGATGTGCCTCAGTCCCCCGGCTGGGGGGCTGGGAGGGATACATGCCCAATGCCCAAGCCAAGGTCTTCCTACACCTGAAAGTTTAATAAAGTTGTGGCCAATTTAATCCCATAACACGTTGTCATTATTATTCATTTCTTCTGTGTGATCTCTTGGGGGTCGGGGGGTCTCTGCGTGGGCACGCAAATATTTATCCCTCACTATCGCTATCCTATAAACTAGCCGCAGACAATTTCTCTGTGTGTAGAGTGTAGCCCAAACAGCACCATCCGCACATAGAGGGAAGGATCCTCAGGCTTGGAGGCAGGTCAGTGTTGTAAACAGAACACAGAGTACCTGTGGGGGACCCAGAGATACCTCCCTGAGCACTGAGCCTGCTCCGTGGACACAGGGGACTAACCGTTGGAAGGGAAGCTAAAAATGGGGGGAGTATTTTGGAAGGGGGCAGGCCTACCTGTAAGAACCATAGGATCACAGAACTGTAGAGTTGGACGGGATCCCAAGGGTCATCTAGTCCACCCCCTGCAATGCAGGAATCTCAACTAAAGCAGGAGCATGAACAGGAGCATCTCAGACAGCCGTGCTTTGCTTGTTGCAGCCACTTGCAATGCCCATTTTCAAGCTCCCAATCTCAGAAGACTAGAACCTGAGCCACACAGCAGCACACAGCTGAACTGTGGATTCCCACAAGATGCCGCAAAGGTCACCAACTTGGATGGCTCTGAAAGGGAGCTGGAGAAATTCACGGAGGATTTCTGTTGCATCTCCACGGTGGGAGGCAGTGTCCATCCTAGGTGTGAGAACGGGATCCTGGCTCGACAGCCTTTGGCCTGATCCAGCTCTTTCGTTTCTATGACAGGCCACTCTTTCAAAATGTGGTTTTGAGGGTTTCCTCTCCTTTTAATCTTTGCACCCCTGTTCTATATCCCAGAAGATTCTGCCTTCCTTTGCATTCTACTCAGGTGCCTTTTTTTCTAAATATTTTGCAGTTTGGGGCAAGCTCTGTGCTCCTGGGACCTAACTCAAAAAGGTTTTTTTAATGTTTATGAATTTAATTTTGCCTACCATGCTTCAAATAAAGGTTTTCCGTCCCAAAGTTTAAACCAATATTACTGGCCCACTTACAACATTCCTTGGATATTGGGTGTCAATGGAAAGAAGCTAGCTTTCTTCTCGTGAAGTAAAAGTTTTAACCAACTTCCTTAGCAAAGCTTTATGTGGCTGTCAAGTGCTGATGCATAAGATTTAGAAGCATGAGATGTAGAGATTGGTTTTGCAACGTGCTGCCGTTCAGCCACTTGGAGAACTGCTAGGACTGCGTCAAATGCAATTGTCACTCACAATGAGGGGCACTTGACAAGTATGATACAGACCATGAAATTGCACTCAATTCTTGCATCAAGCTCTGAATTGGCAATATCTGACCTTGCTGCATTCTTCTCTGCCTTTAAATATTCTTGGAAGAAAGAATGGCACAAATTTGGAACCAGTTCCAAATATTCTAGAAGACTGTGTATAAAAGATGATTTTAAATTACAAGGTTGGGAAGACATTTGCACAATGCAATACGAGTCTCTGTGTTTTTTGAGATCTTGCTCTGTATACCGTTTCCAAAGAAGTAAAATATAGTGATGTTCAGGACAGGGCTTTCTCAGTGGTGGCACCACATTGGGACCTGGACCTCCAATGGAGGCCGAACTTCATTGCTTAGTTTCAGATGTTTTTCACCAAGGCATTTTACCCTGAGCCTTTTCTCACAGGTATGGGGTTAAAAAATACCCAAAGTTCTTGGAATATGCTGGTGTGTGTGTACTTCTATATGAAAAGAATCACATTGCTTATGAGAAAGGTATATTCAGGAAGGATAGAATCATAGAATCGTAGTATTGCAGAGTTGGAAGGGACCATGGGGGTCATCTAGTCCAGCCCCCTGCTTTGCAGGTTCTTTTGCCCAATGTGGGGCTTGAACCCTTGACCTTGAGATTAAGAGTCTCATGCTCTACCAAATAAACTATCCCTGCCAAACGAATCTGTCAGTTGTGGTTCTCTACATTTCTCCCTTTTCTAATCTTAAATTCAGTTCTCTGTTTCTGCTGCAATTTGCATTAAAAAAAATCCTCATGAAAACTCACCAGTTTATCAGTGCAATTTTTCCCAACAAACACATGTGGTTTGCAGTTTTGACTAAAACACACATTTTTGCAAGCAGTCTTCCCTAATATAAGGATTTCTGTAGGTTATTTTTACTAATTTGGTATTTATATGCACACTTTATAGTAATAGATGCCTATTTGTTTACATCTTTTTTTGAAAGTACAGATTGGATATGTTTGTCTTTGAGTGCAAAGTGAGTTTCTCCTCCCTGCCTAATGTCTGTCTGGAGGGACATCATACCTAAATAGCCTGATCTTTTGATGTTTTTTCAAAAGTAAATCACAAATAGAAAGGGTGGGGGCACTCCTGGAAGGTCCCTGGTCCAGGGGCTCCTCAGTTTTAGCAGAACATCTGGGCACATGGCATTTTAAAAGGCTTCTTCACATAAAATGTTCACTCCAAGTAGAATGTTAGTGTTATCAGGAAGAAAGATGTTGTATTATTGCCCTCATGGAAGATGGAGCAAGCATGTTTTCTCCTGTGCCAGAGGGTAGGACTCAAACTAATGGCTTCAAGTTGCGTGTGAAGACCCCCAAAACCACCCTCAAATGAAGACACAATAGACACAAATTTTAGTTTAAGGTTTTGGGCATTAAATTTTGGCCACAACTTTATTGATTACAGCATGTGAGTGGCTGCTTAGGCATTGGTTCCAGACTACCTGAATCTGCACAGTGGCAGGAACAGGACTGACACTGGGCACCACCATATGTCAGTAAGGGAAAGCATCCTGGGGGAGCAAGAACTCTTTCGATCTCACAACTCGCCCCAGATGCTCCCAGGGGCTCTGGCGTGGCCCTAGCCCCTTGACAGGGTTTGGACAAAAGCAAGCCGAGCCCCTGGATTCCTTTAATGGAATTCCCTAGCAGCAGCAATGGAGGGGCAGGCACAGCCAACCACATCCCCTCAGCAAAACATTGAACCAATGCCTAACCGCCAACCTTACAAAGTTGTGATGATTTGCTACACGGCAGGCAAAAACCAAGTGGCACCAGCCAAATGGCAGAATTCCTACTGGGCCCCTGCTCCAAAAGCAGACGACCCCTAGACAGGCATAGCAAAACGATAAGAACAACCGTAAATATGGGGAAAGGAGGGCGGGTTATCTGCTGCCCATCGCAAGAAAGTGAAACTCTCCAGCGACATGAAGCAGCTTAAGTAGCCCCTCAGCAGCCAATAGCCAACCCAAGTGACCAAATTTCTGCCCCAGCAACAGAGGGGCAACCAATGGGGTATTGTGGCCATCCAAACGGTCCCACCCCACAACAGGGAGGCAGTTTCTGGTGATCTCACCGCAACACGTGCCCTCCATGATGGAAGACCCTACTTGCAAGAAAGGAGATTCCAACTCAACATCAGGAAGAACTTTCTGACAGCAAGAGCTGTTTGACAGTTGAATGGCTTCCCTCGGGAGGTTGTGGACTCTCCTTCCTTGGAGGTTTTTAAGCAGAGGTTGGATGGCCATCTCTCCTGGATGCTTTAGTTGAGATTCCTGCATTGCAGAAGGTTGGACTAGATGACCCTTGGAGTCCCTTCCAACTCTACAATTCTATGATTCTGTGCCCCTGTTTTGACATGCAAAAGACTATTTATGTGGAATATTCCAAAATGTAACCCCCCCCCTTCTGCAGTCTGGAGTCCTACAGTCCAAAATCCTCCCATCCTGGCAAAGACCAGACACGCCTGTTTAGCAGCAACAAGGCGGAGGCTTGTTTTGCCTTCAGATCATACCTTGGGTATGAGCTACACAGCAAAACATAGGGTTTGGTTCATCAGAAAGGGATATGATCCCTGGAAGAAAGCCCCAATGCCCAGATAGTCCTGGATAACACTAGACGTTGACACAAGAGCTTTTTTGCACTGTGAACAGGGCACCCTTTGGAGAGCGTCCTCAGGACAGAAGGAGCACTTCATTCACCAGCCACTGAGTCACAGGAAAAAGTTATTTCAGGAGAAGTCCAAGTGGTGTCACAAGATAGATATGCATGCAGATGCTAAATGCTGCTACAGCTGCTCTAAGGAAATAGCTTACCTTTTTCTTGGATATTTGCATCTGAAAAAAAATGCAACAGTAAATTCATTGCACATTTATGTTGCATCTAACCCTTTTAAAACTATGATACTGATTTGAGTTACACTTTTTACATATTTTAATGAAGTGTTTGTTAACTTTGGCAAACAAAAGGTTTGATGATTTGCATAAAGTTCAATTTTTTAAATCTGATTTTCTAAGTATACAAATGCACCACTGTCAGTAGAGGAGATTTAATGACACCAGCACATAATTCACAGGCCCTGCAAATTTTCGAGGCTTGCAATGATGGATTTTGGGCCTGATGTTTGCTTTATACACTGAATGTGTATTACTGTAAGTCATTTATCTAAATGAAGGCTGGAGTTCAAAGTATATTGTTGTACTGAAGAGTAAAACAAAATGTGTTTTAATTATCAAGGAAATTTATGACACCTCTACTCTCTGTTTTTTTGCGCATGCATGCCACATTTATGTACATATTTTAGAAAATTCAGTTGTGGTTAATTGGAGCCCATTCCCAGTGCTTTTTTTCTAAAAGATATTTAGACGCAAGGAAATCACCATTTTATAGTTCAAATCGGGGGAAATAAATACAGTAAATGGACAAAAGTACAAAGATTCACAAAATGTTTAGGGGTATGCGTACCCCTGTGTCTCCCCAGAAAAAAAGCACTGCCCATTCCTCTGTTCACTCCCTTGCTTGGAAGGAAGTTCTATTGATTTTGAAAGGGCTTCCTTAATTCCTGGGAAATACAGGATGCTAGATGCACATCCTGTTCCTGTGCGTGTTTACTCAGAAATAAGTCCCGCTGGGTTTTAAGGTACTTACTCCTAGGTTAGATTGTGCATAGGATGATAGTTGTGGGCCAGGCAAGGGTGGCAGACACGGTTCCCTGCAGAAGCTGTAAGACTCCCTCCCTTTCTCACCCGCCAGGGCTAAGGGGACTTGTGGGGCAACCAAAGCCGCACGGCACCATCTTTGCTGCTCCTGCTTGAGACTTGGAAGTCAGTTCCATGGAACTCAGCGACATTTTGGGGTAAGGTAGATGGGATCAGGTTGCAAAAGTCATACTATGACCTGGATGCTCATACATATTTTAAAAATGGAGCACGATAGTGAGGTGGGACATTGTGCTTATTAAATGCTAGTCTGATAGGCTGCAGATGCTGAAGTATTGTTTTTCTTCTTCCGGGGGTACTCAAGGGTACTTTTTGTTGTTGTTAAAAAGTGTGGCACTTACACTTACTGTAACAATTTCATGGTGAGTGCCAAAACCTATTTTTTTAGAAAAAAAGCACTGGCCTTCGTTAATAGTTAATAGCTATGTGTATTCATATAGTACTCCTGGGTAAGAATATCAGTACATTTTGGAACAAATCATTTGGGCAATGCAGTTGTGGAGGGGGAAGCAACAGTTGGGGGGACCATCTTTTGATTAAAAAAAAATTAAGCTAATCCTAGTTTTTAAATTAAGGGTGTGGGGAGAAGTCTATAATGAAGTCTATAAATAAAATCTATAAATGTCACCCCCTTAGGCCCACCAAATTTAGCTACGCCCTAAGAGCTGCTGTGGCTGTGGCCCTGTGGTTTGAGTTTGGGACTGGTCTCCGCATTCCCGGAGCTGCTCTGCCATGAAGCTCACTTGAGCCTGTCACCATCTCCCAGACCAACCCAATGTACAAGCTTATTGTGATCATAAAACGGGAAGGGGGAAGAGAACCCCAGAGTTCTGTGGTAGAAGGTAAGGATAGGTATCGCGAGTAAAATAAAATTCACACATAGACCCCGGCAAACCTATGTGTTGCCCCTTCTGCTGGCAGGTCATGAGCAAAGCTTTATGGACCAGTATTGGAAGCCTCCCAGAAACAAGTTTACTGGTCAGGTCAGTAAAATACTGAATAGTTGAAGAAATCCCTTATTTCAATCTTTGTGGCTTCCACATTGTAGGCTTTGATAACCTGACGGTTCATTAAACTACTTTTGATGTTCAGTTTTGGTTTGGTTTGTGTTTCATGGGCTGAGAAACCCTCAGCAAAGGCAGGTGGAAAAATCAAAATTGGAAACAGAACTGTTAGATCCCAAAATTAAGAACTTGTCAAGAATGTATAACTTGCTGTTGAAATGGAATACTCAGGATGAAACGGTGAAATCAACTATGATTAAATGGGCACAAGATGTAGGACATAATATTATGATGGCTGACTGGGAACAGTTATGGACCACAGGTATGAAGTTTACGGCATGTAATGCCCTAAGAGAGAATATAATGAAAATGATCTACAGGTGGTACATGACACCATTCAAGCTTGCAAAAATATATCACTTGCCCGATAATAAATGTTGGAAATGTAAAGAGACTGAAGGTACATTTTTTCACCTTTGGTGGACATGCCCAAGGATTAAGACATTCTGGGAGATGATTTATAATGAAATGAAAAAGGTATTTAAATATACCTTCCTGAAGAAACCAGAGGCCTTTCTCCTGGGCATGGTCGGCCAATTGGTGCCAAAAAAGGATAGAATTTTCTTTATGTATGCCACAACAGCAGCAAGAATACTCATCGCGAAGTATTGGAAGACACAAGATCTACCCACTCTGGAAGAATGGCAGATGAAGGTGATGGACTACATGGAACTGGCGGAAATGACTGGCAGAATCCGAGACCAGGGAGACGAGTTGGTGGAAGAAGATTGGAAGAAATTTAAAGTTTACTTACAGAAACATTGTAAAATTAAGGAATGTTAGAAGGATGTTGGAATGAAGTAATGTGGTTTTAGCAGAGATACCGTAAAGGATTAAGAAAAAAAAAACAGATTGTTAAATGGTGAAA